GAAGGTCCGCTACAACGACTGTTATGCACAGCTTTTCTATCAGCGCGCCGGTATTGGCAAGCAATCGACTCAGCTGAATGCTTCTTTCGATCTACAGCTATCTGCATCTGTTAAGAACGCTAAGTACGTCATTCTTTTACCATTTGCTGAGCAAACTGGAAACTTTGCTACTGCTGCTGTTCAACAGTTTCAGAGTCCGTTTGATACGGCTCCTTGGACCCTTCAGTCTGGTTCGAGCATTCGCAACTTCAATGTTCGTATCGGTTCGACTCAGTGCTTCGATATCTCCCATGACTACGATTTCCACCAATTCACAAACGAGTTCGCTAAAATTGCTGCGATCAATGGTGATCTGACTCCTGAGCTTGTGAATGGACTGCTTGACTATCAGACATGGTCGCTAACTAACCGCGTCCTTATCGCTGACGTTAGCCGCCTGACGGAGCGTGATGTCCCTCAGGCCATCCAGATCCAAGGCACAAACGCTGGTTGCCAGGGAACTAACATGATTGTTTTGGTTGTGAGCGAACAAGAGCTCTCCTACGACCGTCTTACTGGCGAGGTTCTCGACTTCACTACAGCGTAAGAAAAAAATATGATTGATTTATTGCTGATGATCAGCTAAACTTTTCAGATGTTTATTGGATTTAACATGACGCGATTTGTTGTATCGTGTGTATGTACTTCCACAATCACATTCGATTCTTTCATTAGATCGAGCTTTGATTCGCTCCTTGTTAGCTTCATAGTGCTGCTTAGCCCGTTGAGTTGCTTCTTCTTTATGTAGGTCGCGATAGGTTTGTCTTTGAATTATCTTCTCATCGTTAGTCTTGTGGGCAGGAACCCTATTGACACACTGAGTACTGTCAATCACTAATTGTTCGAAATGATTGAGTTGCTTGCGCTCGCCGATATCATGTTCCGATACAAGGAAAATAGTAAAATTGTCAAGACCGTGTTCTTTGAAATGATAATAAATCATTGCTTGACACTTATTGGTTCCATTAACCCATCGTCGATAACTTGAGAGATGCAACTTCCATCTGTTCTCAACTGGTAATGTGGTACTCCCCACATACACAATCGATTCGTCCGCGTTGGTAATCTTATAGATATACCCCTTCATTATTATATCATAATCTTTATATATCAGGATCACCGATGTTTCTGTCATAGGTAAAAAAAATATTTTTTATCGCTTAATTAAGTTCCTGAAGTAGCTTAGGACACTTTTCAA